AAGTACATAGAACTAGTTTAAGGATTTTCTTATTGGCCGGGCGCCGCGGCTCACGCCTATAATTCCGGTGCGTTGAGAGGTCAAGGCAGGAAGATCCCCTGAGGCCGGGTGGTTATATATAGCTATGATCGCGCCACTGCATTCCATCCTGGGTGACAGTGCGAGACTTTTTTTTTTTAAGAGACAGAGTTTCACTTTATTGCCCTAGGTAGAGTGCGGTGGCGTCACAGCTCACAGTAACCTCCAATCCTGAGGCGATTCTTTTGCCTCAGCCTCCCGAGTAGCTGGGACTACAGGCGCCTTCCACAACGCCCGGCTGTCTTGTGTTGCAATTTGGCAGGGGCTGGGCTCGAAACCCCCACCCTCGGTGTATGGGGCCGGCGTCCTACCCACTGAGCCACTTAGAAAAAAAAATTCTTTTTTTGGACAGCGTCTTAGTTTGTCGCCCTCTGTAGTGCCCTGTGCCATCACAGCTCACAGCAACCTCGAACTCTTGGGCTCAAGCAATTCTCTTGCCTCAGCCTCCTGAGTAGCTAGGATTACAGGCTCCGGCCACAACGCCGGCCTATTTTCAGAGACTGGATCTCGCTCTGGCTCAGGCTGGACTGGAAGCTGGGAGCTCAGGCAATCCACCCACCTCGGCCTTCCAGAACACTAGGTTTACAGGCGTGAGCCACCGCACCGGCCTTAAATTTTTTTTGGTTTTTAATTTTAATGACAAGGGAGTGGGTAGAGTGTTTTCTATCCTTTCACCTACTGGATTTGATGTCAGAGAAGTCTGACATCAGTCTGAATTCTGGCCTTGTTGGTCACACTTATCTCTAGGTCACACTCTGCTGCCTTTGTGCTCAATATAGTATGACACTGTTTTATCAAGTATCTACACTTCTTAAGCCTCTGGCTTTTGGTGACTTTAGTTAGGCAGAACTTCCAAGTCCCTCCTTTGGGCTCCCGTAGTGTTTGGATATTAAAGTTCAAAGCACATTGTGTTACAGTTCGTTGTTTATCAGTGCTTTCACAGCAGTTTGCCACCTTGCTGAAAGCTAGGCCTACATTTTATTCATTTTGGATTTCTTCCCCACCAAGAGACTCATAAATATTGAAGAGTTAACAGCTGATAGTAGGTTGGATGGAATATGTGATTTTCTTTTCTTTTTTTTAGAGACAGAGTCTCACTTTGTCATACTTGGTAGAGTGCTGTGGTGCCACAGCTCACAGCAACCTCCAACTCTTGGGCTTAGGCAGTTCTCTTGCCTCAGCCTCCCAAGTAGCTGGGACTACAGACGCCTGCCACAATGCCCAGCAATTTTTAGAGATGGGGTCTCACTCTTCCTCAGGCTGATCTCAAACCCATGAGCTCAGGCAATCCAACCCGCCTCAGCCTCCCAGAGTGCTAGGATTACCGGTATGAGCCACCATGCCAGGCCCAGAATATATGATTTTCATGAAGAGAAGAGTTAAATTACTTGCTCAAGAGAAACTTCTTAGAAATGAAACTGGTATGAGAATTCAAATCACTTGACTTCTAGGCTGTAGCTCTTGCTGTTAGGTCAGGCTTTCAAATTCTGGAACACTGAAAGTAAGACCTTGTCATTCTTGTACCCACTAATCTTGCTGTCTCCAGCGCAGGTCTCTAAATGTCAGAAGTAGACCCAACTTAAAACTTGAGAGAGATCCTGGAATTGGAGTAACCAATCTGCTATACTACTTGGTGTGATGCAAAACAAGGTTCCTTGAAATGTTTGAGTTCCCCACATCTTCCTTCTAGCTGTCTTATGAGCCCACTTGGTCCTGGGTAGCCTCCTGGACAGTTTGATTAAAGATTTCTGAGATCAGTCTGGGGAAGGACTTCCTACGTTTGGCCTTGAATTTATTTTTTCTCTCCCACTTCCCCTAGGCTAGGGTTAAAGACTAGTTTAATTGGTTAAATTGTGTCAATCTCGAGGTCTCATCTAGGGGAAGAGTTCATTCTTGACCTGGGCAGGTGATTGAGGGGGAGAAACAATAATGGTCCTTGCCCTATGGAAGGCCCAAATGTGATGAAAACCCACTCAGAGCCTGGCAAGCCCTAGAAACCAAGCAGAGTGCAAAGTGGGCAGTTGAACCTTCAGAAAACTCAGGATATAGAAGTGGAGAGGAATCCATCACAAATTGCTCCTTGTTAGAACTTAATTTTAAACAAGATTGAAAAAGAAGGGGAGGGGCAGGTGTGGCTCACACCTGTAATATAGCACTCTGGGAGGCCGAGGCAGGTGGATTGCTTGAGCTCCTGAGTTTGAGACCAGCCTGGGCAAGAGTGAAACCCCATCTCTAAAAGTAGTGGGGCGTTGTGGTAGGCGCCTGTAGTCACAGCTACTTGGGAGGCTGAGGCAGGAGCATGACTTGTGCTCAGGAGTTTGAGGTTGCTGAGCTATGACACCACTTGCACTCTACCAAGGGTGACAAAGTGAGACTCTGTCTCAAAAAAAAAAAAAAAAGACAGTGTTGAGCAGGTGTTTGCTGAGTACTTAATAAGAGCCAGGGTCTTGGGCTTATGGAGGTAAACTGAACAAGGTCTGGCTCCTGATCTGCCCAAGTCTACTTGGGGAGGCAGGGTATGAATTCATGAAGACGCCACTAACCAACCATGGTGACAGCCAGTGCTTCTCAGCCTTTGCCAGTCATCAGAATCACCTGGGGGAAGGTTGTTTAAAATACAGATTCTGGCTCGGCGCCTATGGCTCAAGTGGCTAAGGCGCCAGCCACGTACACTCAAGGTGGCAGGTTCGAATCCAGCCCGGGCCCACCAAACAACAATGACGGCTGCAACCAAAAAATAGCCAGGCGTTGTGGTGGGCGCCTGTGGTCCCAGCTACTTGGGAG